GTCTATCAGAGGTCACTGGGACATCCTGTGGTGTGTCCATATGGCTCAATCGAGCTCAGATGATGATAATTATAAAAGAAGGTAGGATCAACCTCACAACCACAGAGCATCCAGCGGGTGTGGGCAGGAGTAGGATTAAGAGTCCCGCATAGGGCTCTACACTACGCTGCTGTCTGTTATTTATCACTACAGGTCATCAGCTCACAACAAGCTGACCGTGACGTGAACTTTTATTTGCCCTGATGGGCTAATAGTCAGTATATATAAAATAAAGTTAAAATATAGCTTCAGGACTCGGTTTGCACTGGGTTTAGTCAGCTTGGGTCTCTCTGTCCATGGTGCTGAAGTACTCACTGGAACAGACGTATCCTTCTACAGTGCTATATGTCTGGTTTATGTATTTATATTTAGGAAATGTTGGTAATTAAACAAATTAACCATTAGTTCCAGTATAGTATGCCTGAATTTCCAGTCCTGCCAATTATAGTTTTTGCAAGTAAAGGTAGCATAACAGCAATTATTTGCCACTATTCCAAGAAAAAAAACTATCCATCCTTACCTCAAATGTATATATGGCTGCACAGAAACTGCTCATTCCCATTAATTTCAGTGAGGAGAACATGACATTACCTTACTTATTCCTGACAGGGCCTGCAAACCAAGGACAGCTGCAATGACTAGATTTTGAAGCATTTCTTCTGCTAATAAAGTGTTAATCTTAAAATGGGAAAGCAGGTATTAGCTAATTATCAACAGTCACTCCTCACAGGCTCCTGATCCTGAGGACACACAGTTGACAACCTATTATCGTGCCCCCACTGGGTGCATAAACCCAAATTAGCTCTCCTCACACCCTCTATATTTCTATGCAGAGGGCAGACATGTGTCACCAAATAGTTGATGAAATTTGTGTGGTTATTCTAGGTTAACATTCTTCATTATCCTTGACAAATTTCAATCATACAAGGTCACAAGTGTGAATCCTACACTTAGTTGGAATATCTGATTGGGGAAGAAAAACTAGAAGCACTCTCCACATATAAAATCAGTTCCTTGAGCACCATAACCTTATAATTATATGTTCTGTAGCTGTATGGATGTGAATGACAAGATATTGAAGTTAAAGCCGCTGAAAGAAACTGTTAAAGTGTAGTAAAACCAACCCACCAAGATGTCTCAGTAGATACTCACACCTTCATCTTAATATGTAGTAAACACAAAAACAACGGCTGCCTGCATAAGATACACACGCACATATACCCACAAAGTAATTGCTCGCCTCCAGGCTGTCTGTTAAACACCGTCTGGCTTTATAATGACATGCTAATAAGGCGCTAACGACAGAGAAAAAGGCTAACAAGCTTTGCAATTAAAATGACCGAAAATTCTTCTCCTCCCCTTCACCCCTGCCTCTCTCCTGCTCCTCCCCAGGGGGGCCAGGCTGTTTTGTCAGCCTTGCTCGGTTCAAGTTTTTATAATGGAGCCGGCACATCAAGAAAGTGTCAGTTAGGAAGTGCGGGCGTGTGCATGAGAGGAAGAAGTGTTTCAAGTGTGCCTTTTTTAATTTAATCTCCAATAATGTTTCTGTTTAAGAGTGGAGGGCTGTGTCGTGTGAGTGTTGAGTAAAACTCCCCCGAGGGGCTTCTTACACGCGCACAGACACCCACGAGGCTGCACACACCGTCCTCCTACTCTTTTCTTTTCCTCCTCAAAGTCTTTCTTGCGATAAAACAAAAGGACGAATTGAGCAGAGTGGCAGTGACGGAGGACAAGAGAAGAGAGAGACAGAGAAGATGGTCCTGTTCTGCATAAATTATTGAACGCATCTCCCCTGTTGACTGTCAAATCGATCCAAACAGCGACTTGCCCACTCAACCGCCCTGGTTGAATATGATCATGATGCCCCCTTGGTGTGACAGAAAGAAGACAGTAGGTTAACTTTCATTGCCGGCGTTGAATTCAATTTTCATACAGGCAAGAACAAGCCAAGGCCAGTCGACAGCAACAACCACGAGGAGACCTTTGTGTTGCCTGCTGCGTGTTTGTGTGCACGATCTGCCTTTGACCTCAGAAAAAAGCTGCAATGTCTGTATAAGGCAACATCTCTTTCCTCCACTTTCTCTCTCTGTGTGTGTGGATGAGTGTGTTTGTGTCTTTCAAAGGAGTCTCCTGAAAAGCACACACAGGAAGGCACACTGCCTTGTAGAGTCATTGCAGCTCCCTCCCAGCACTAGCTGTTGCATTTTTCAGTGGCAGCCCTGCTTTATTGTCTCATCTTTAAAAGACTAGAGATAAAATCTTACAGGTTTTTTT